CATCATGGGGTGAATTTGAGTGGTGCTGATCCAACCACGAAGGTCCTGGTGCCGAGCCCGTCAGCGCCGCATGCCCCACTTGAGAGTGCATGGAGGGCACATGCCTCTTCTGAGGCACCTGGGTCTGCAACCAGTGCTGAGGCCTGCGTGGCACCAGGGAGGCACGAGAGTGGCTAGGTGCCTCACACACCAAAGCCTGTATGCTCTGGGTTGCCGGTGCCGGATCAGATGCCGGTGCTGGATGTAAGGCCATCTCCATCAGGATAATCTTCAAAGGAGACTCCTTTTCCCACTTGGTATGCGGCTTGAAAGCCTTGCAGATCATAATCATAGAACTATAGAGCTGGAAGAGACCTCAGAAGGCCATTAAGTCCAGCCCCCTGCCCAAGGCAGGATCAATCCCAATCTTATAGGCTTCGGACAAGTGGGCCTCTCCTAGGCACTTAAGATAAGCTGTGTGAGGGTCCCTGTAAGGCACAGGCTTCTGGCACTTCTCACAGGGCTTGAAGCCGTGGGGCCCAGGCATGCCCCGCTGGACACTTAACAGCTAATAAAACCTTCAGATAAGAACAATGAACTGAGAACTTTTTAACTAACCACTGAAACAACTAGAAGAACTGCTAAGAGGCACTTGCAGAGCAAGAGCAAAAGCGCATTCCAACGACCACCAGGAGTGGTAAGAAGTAACTGAGAGGGTAGAGGGCCAAGAAGGGTATATGTTCGCTGATATACTGGTGCCACTCCAGGGGGCTTCCCTGCTGGCCCAACGGGTACTGATAAGGCAAAAACTTCCAACAACGTGTGCACGCAGCGCACGCACACCTACATGGAATGGACATGAGCAATCACTTGAAGAACTACTCTCACTAGTCGGCTTTAAGACCAATATTTCAATTTAAGACATATGGGACTAGTTTTTCAAGGCCTTTGTGATATATGTACATCTAAAACAAGTAAACATGCAATATGATGTAAGAAGCGATGCACAGAATTAGATGTGCAAGCAATATTCAGAGCGGAAAACAAATCCAGGTGCAACTCGGGGATTTTATTTGTTCATTTTCCATCCACTGTTAGAAGTACTGACTATACAGAGGACCACTTGAGCACCACCTAATGAAGTGATTTTTGTTTGTGTATGTGTTCGTGTGCATGTGGACACACTATAAGGGACACATCAGCCCACCAACTTGCTGAATGTAGGATCACTAATGTAATCAAATTCCTAGTGTTCTGTCATGATTCATTCATCCTCCATGGTTCCAATCTTGAAAGGCTCAGGAAACATGGCTCATCTGAGTGTAGCTTTTAAGAAGTGGTGGGAGGGGTTATTAATTATTCTTTATATTTACTTTTAGTTCCTAAGACAGCTTATTTCATATTTTTCAGATGACATTGCCTACTCTCTCAGGATTTTGTCTACAACTCCAATTATAAATCCTCAAACTCTGCATAATTACAGTATAATGAATTCCATAAAATCACCAGCTCTGTCACTGAAATGACATTTGGAGTACTGAAGGCACCTCAGTAACTCTAGCTATAAATCACAATAGTTATTCCCTGAAAAGTGTAAGATGTTCCTTGTCAGCTGCATTTAGCACACTAAAGTTCAGCCCATTGACTTCAGTATGAGCAGGTTAGAATCTCATTGCAGGGAATGAGTTCTCACAATTCTTCTATTAGAATTACACCTGAACTTTTCTAACTTTCTCTTTTTTCAACTTAAAAAAATTACCCTTTGACTTACTGTCACGAGTCAGGCTACCCCTCAGGCTTACAACCTATTCATCATCGGAGTTAGCCGCCCGTGTACCTTTCCCTCACTCGTGTTCCCCATGCCCCAGTCCCGCTTTATGGCTAAGTTCATGGCTCCGCGGGTAGCGCACTTAGTCTCAACCTCGTCGATGAGGTGCCTCTTGCTGTGAGGTGAGAGGGGGATTCAGGCCCACCCCCACTCCGGGTGCCGACCGAGGACCCTTAAAGGCAGCAGCACCTTAGTGCCACCCGGTTGGTGGCGCGTGCCCCGAAACTCACCAAACGTCGGGGTATTTGTTCCCCGTCCTGGGTCACTTCCTCCTGGTCCTCCACGTCAGTTCCGGCTCTCGAGCCACCTTGCCCTGGTCCTTCCAGCGTTCTTCCCGGGGCTCGCCTCCCCCTTGCTTTCTTGTTCCGGGCATCTTTTGAAAGGCCCGCTTCTCCTGGCCCCGCCCTCTTCCTGAGGCGCAGGGTAATGACATCAGACGTAGGGAAGCCCCGTCAGAGACATTCCAGCCCCTGGCTGCCCCAGTACATCCTGGGCATGCTCGCCAAGGCGCAGCCCGTACCCTGCACTGTGCCCTGAGCCCGGCTCCTTCCGCTGCCGTGGCTGGAGCTGTGTCCTCCTCGCCGGAGGCTTCCCCGCCCTTGGCTGGCCGGAGAAAGTGGAGTGCCGCATGCTTCTCCGCGCAGGAGCCCGGCACCCCATCACACTTACCCACAGAAAAAATCTAGGGTTCTCACTTTTTCCACAGCATGAACCACATCTACAGGAGAGTTTATGGACAGTTTGTGTTTCATTTAACATCTTACTCAAGAGAAAGATCTTGGAGTCATTGTGGATAGTTCTCTGAAAACATCCACTTAGTGTGCAGTGGCAGTCAAAAAAGCAAATGGAATGTTAGTAGTCATTAAAAAAGGAATAGAGAATAAGACAAAATATCTTATTGCCTCTATATGAAACCATGGTATGCCCGCATCTTGAATACTGCGTACAGATGTGGTCGCCTCGTCTCAAAAAAATGTGTTGGCATTGGAAAAGGTTTTGAAAAGGGCAACAAAAATGATTAGGGTTTTGGAACGGGAAAGATTAAAAAGACTGGACTCTTCAGCTTAGAAAAGAGGAGACTAAAAGGGGATATGATAGAGGTCTATAAAATCATGACTGGAATGGAAAAAAATGAATAAGGAAAAGTTATTTACTTATTCCAACATTAAAAGAACTAGGGGTCACCAAATGAAATTAATAGGCAGCTGGTTTAAAACAAACAAAAGGAAGTTTTTCTTCACTCAGTGCACAGTCAACCTGTGGAACTCCTTGCCAGGGGATGTGATGAAGGCTAGAACTTTAATAGGGTTCAAAAAAGAGCTAGATAGATTCATGGAGGTTAGGTCCATCAAAGGCTATTAGCCAGGATGGGTAGGAATGGTGTCCCTAGCCTCTGTTTCTCTGGAGATGAGTGACAGGGGAGGGATCAGGTGAGGATTACCTGTTGTGCTCCCTCCTTCTGGGGCATTTAGTATTGGCCACTGTCAGCAGACAGGATACTGGGCTAGATGGACCTTTGGTCTGACCCAGTATGGCCGTTCTTATGTTCTTATCACAGCAACTAAAACAATTATTTACATAAAGAAGTTTGCAATTTATACCATTTTCAATGCAATAAATAGCTGGAAAGCAAAGAGAACCCCATAACATGTGGCCTGCCAGCTCTCTGCAGACCACAAATTTCCATCTCAACACACAGATGCTTCATGCTTTTGAGGCAGACACCCATGATTCCGCTCAAGTCTGAATCTCTATTAAATTAAAAGGATATTTAGAAAAGAACTTTGAAGGTTCTTATATTGCCCATCATCTGAAAAGAACTGACACTTATTGCTGTCATGTACTTATTCTCAGGGGAAATTAAAGGAACCCTCTCATCATTATTAAGTATAGCACTGCAAGTATATCTCATTGGTTAGGGCAAATTATTTTACTAACTCCACCATTACAAAGAATCATGAAAAATAATTACCTGCCCCCTTTAAGATATTTCTGCTAGGGATGTGAAAGGTTAATCAGTTCCAGTTAACTGTTAACCAGTGGTGGCTGGAGCAGTTCCCCACCTGCTGCAGGCAGTGGGTTGCTCCAGCCCTATGGGGGGCCCATCACAGACAGGGGCTGCTCTAGTCCAGCCCTGTCTGTGGTGGATCCTGGTGCATCGCAGACAGGGGTTGCTCTAGTGTAGCTGAAGCAATCCCTGCCTGTGATGCAGCTGACCGGAGCAACCCTGTGGCAGGTGGGGGGCCACTCCATCCTGGCCTTGGTAGGGGAGGGGGGCAATCTAGCCCAGCAGGTTAACTGGTCAAACATAATGTTAGGGTATGTCTACACTTGCTCCCTTTCTCGAGATAGGGATGCAAATGTAGTGTACTGAAATTGCTAATGAAACGCGGGATTTAAATATCCCGCACTTAATTAGCATAACTGCGTCCGGCCGCTATTTTGAAATCGCATTATTGCAAAATAAAACGCCCCGTGTAGCAGCATTATTTCGAGAGAAAACCCTTCTCCTGAAATAACTGTTAAACCTCATTGTATGATGACTAACAGTTATTTCAAGAGAAGGATTTCAAAATGGCGGCCAGACGTGATTATGCTAATTAAGCGTGAGATATTTAAATCCCGCGCTTCATTAGCAATTTTGGTACACTACATTTGCATCCTTATCTTGAGATAGGGTGCAAGTGTAGACATACCCTAACTGATTAACCAATTAAACAGGATTTTACATAGATTATCTTGCAGAAACTAGGGATCTCGATTTTCACTGATGTCACATTGATGTATATATGAAAATGCAAATCAGCTACTAAGTCAGATATCTATGCTACCTATTTCATATGTGTTATTGAGATACCAAACTCAAGATACCATTTTTATATAATGCTGGATGAAACAGTGTAGGCAACGAGTGTGTCTTCTTAGCTGTTTAAGCCCATTTCCGTGGATACCAAGAGTACCATTTTCATTACTTTAGCAACCAAGAGCCATGAGTCAGTTCCCAAAACAGCAGCTTTCAGATTCTAGTACAGGCTGTACCATTTTGTAAGTGTCATATTTTTGGAAACATTTAATTAGCATGTGATACCTGAGCTCTTGTTATATCCATTTCAATCAGCCACAGGAAGATGACGAAAGAAACTTTTTCTGCTGACCATTTCCAGGTTTAAAAAAAAAAAGACATTTAGAAAAGTTTATTTTTGGAATAGTATTTTATTATATGTGCTCATTCAAATATAAAAGAACATTGAAAAGCTATAGTACTTGCACAGATAAGGTCCCACTTTTTTTTTCAATTTAATTTTAAATGGATCTTGTCATTCATCATTCAGCCCATGTTTAAATTCCAGGATCAATATATTTCCACAACAGAAACCAAACCCAAAAATCTTAATGCAAAAACAGTTATTTCTGAACAAATAAGTATCCTTATGCCTTGTTTAAAATCCAAACATTGCAACACTGAAACCTGAATATAAACAAAATTGAAATGGACTGACTACAAAAAGTAAACATAGGAGTACATATAGATAAATTGGATTTTTTTAAAGTTATTTTTTCTTTAATAAGCACAGGTTTTATTAGTGAAATATAAAAAGAGATAAGAATGTGTTTATGTATAACATGATTTTCTAAGTCTAGAAGGACACGGACAACTTGAAATCCAATCAATCTTAAAATGAGTTAAAAGTAGCTTGAGGTTCTAAAAACCTGGCCTTTGCTCCATGCTGCAACTTTTTTGTAGTTTTACTAATCATATTTTCTTGTTTTTAATTTATTTTTAATTTTTTCCTCTCTCCCATTTTCATGAAAAAGCCATACAAAGAGTAGAAACCAAGATTCTGATTCACCAAAACACTCAAGTGTATGTTTGACTCCAAGACTATGATGCAGCAATATGGCAGACAGAGACTGATATATAAATTTGGTGTAGTATTTCTAATAGCCCATTGTAATATTAGGCAATTTATATTATACACCAAATTAAAACAAATCATATCCATTCAAACAGTCTCAGATCTCAAATGAAGTCCCAATCATGAGGAGGGTGAAGATTTTTTTGAACCTCACTCATATAATATTTCCAATTTTCTGTAAAGACAAGCACTCCTTCATACACAGAGATAAGAAGTGGGTTCTACCGACAAAAGCTCATGATTCTACAGTATATATTTTTGTTAGTCTCTATGGTGCCGCAGAACTACTTGTTGTTTTTACCGGTAAGAAGGGAACAGATGTAAAGCTAAGTGTACATGATTGGTTATTATTAAGTCATAGCACATCTGAGTACTTTTTCATATTATCATGTTTTATAAATCTTTTTTTAAAAAAGGATAAAATAGCTCTAGCTCTTTATTATATATGTCTAATATCTCTTTAGAGAGCTGCAAAATATTGGTAATATACCGCACATATGAAAAAATACTGGATTAATGGAATACTAAACACATACCATGGAACTGTTCCATATATTAATTTATAAAAGTAGGTTAAGTGATTTTAAATGTATAGCTGGATGCTATACAAGGTTTTTCAAAACACATTCCCAGAAAATACTCCTCGGCAAAAGAGTTGAAAGGGGAATATTTCAAAAATATGCATAATCAACTCATACGTCTCATTAATAAACTGAAATTCGGATCCTGTAATTGTTTAAAAACAAGTGTGTTATCTTTGGTGATTAATAAACTGTACATTTCTCATTAAAATTGTTCTTGTTTAGCATCACCTATGGCTTCCCATACATCAAAAACAAACTCATCTGGAAATGCGAAGTCTCCAAGAGTTTCATCAAGTGCAACAGCAAATTCATCTGGATTGTTCTTGCCTTTTCCTGCTTCTACCATTGTGGCAGCTTACAAACAAAACCAAACAAAAATTACCATCTCCCCAACACAGATATACAGAAAGACAAAAACATAATTACAATTACATTACATGCTCATTGTGACATTCCAAAATAATATATTTTAAACACTTAGAAAGGGGAGATTTTTAAATGCATCTAACAGGATTCAGAAGCACAAGTCCCAAAAAAATCAAAAGGATTCATGGTCCTAGATCTCTCCCTTAATAATGAATGCTCTGCTATGCTGGAGAGCACAATCATATTCCTAGGGACAAATACTTCTGGATCTTGTTTGTGTTCTATTTAGTTCTGATTTTTCTTTTGCTCAGCACAGACTCAGTGAGTGCGTCTAGACTGGCAAGATTTTGCGCAAAAGTGGCTGCTTTTGCGCAAAAACTTTCCAGCTGTCTACACTGGCTGCTTGAATTTGCGCAAGAGCACTGACTTTGTAATGTACAAAATCAGTGCTTCTTGCGCAAATACTTTCACGCTCCCGCTCGGGAAAAAGCCCTCTTGTGCAAGAATACTGTGTAAACAGGGAAAAATTATTTTGCGCAAAAAAGCTCCGATGGCTAAAACGGCACTTTTTGCGCAAAAGCATCCTTGCTAATCTATACGTTCTTTTGCGGAAATACTTTTAACGGAAAAACTTTTCCGTTAAAAGTATTTCCGCAAAATCATGCCAGTCTAGATGTAGCCAGTAGGTTTAACTACTAACTGTAGTGTCTTGTGAAAGTAAATCCAGGTCTGGGGTAAAGAACCAGATAAGATGTGGCACAACACAAAGTCTTTCCGGGATAGAATGGTTACTTACCTTGTAACTGTGATTCTTTGAGATGTATTGCTCATGTCCATTCCAATATAGGTGTGTGCACGCAGTGTGTATGCGCCGTCAGAAGTATGTCCCTCAGCAGTACCCTTAGGGCCAGCAGGGAGCCCCCTGGAGTGGCGCTGGTATACCAGCCCATATATACCCCTGCTGGCCCCCTCCCCACTAGTTCCTTCTTACCGGCATACTCCAGATAAAGGGCGGTGGGCGGGGTTTTGGAATGCACATGATCAACACATCTTGAAGAATCACAGTTACGAGGTAAGTAACTGTTCTTTCTTCTTCGAGTGATTGCTCATGCACATTCCAGTATAGGTGACTCCAAAGCAGAACGTAAGGAGGCTGGCTGGACGATGAAACTACAGAGGAATGGAGGAGGGTCCTACCCAGAGCAGCGTCCCCTCTGGCCTGATGCGGCAGTGCATAGTGGTTGGCAAATGTATGGACGGAGGACCATGTGGCGGCTCTGCAGATGTCCAGACTGGGAACCAGTGCTATGAAAGCGCTGCCCTTGTGGAGTGCGATCTAAGAAGTGGAGCCGAAACGCCCGCTAGGCTGTAGCACTCCCTGATGCAGGCGGTTATCCAAGAGGCTATCCGCTGGGTGGACATGGGTTGGCCCCTCATGCACTCTGCGATAGCCACTAAAAGTTGTGGCGACTTCTGGAAAGGTTTGGTCTTCTCTAAATAAAAGGCTAGCACCCTATGGACGTCTAGAGTGTGTAAAGCCTGCTCTTTCCCAGATACATGAGGTTTAGGGCAAAAAAACCGGCAGGAAGATGTCCTGGGAGGTGTAGAAGGATGACACCACCTTCGGCAGGAAAGCCGGGTGAGGGCAGAGCTAAATCTTATCCTTAAAAAATACCGTGTGGGGGGATCTGATGTGAGTGCCCTAAGCTCAGATATCCTCATGGTGGAAGTAATCGCCAACAGGAGAGCTGCCTTATAAGATAGGTGCAGGAGGGAGCACGTCACTAACAGTTCGAACGGGGGCCCCATATATTTGGGGAGAACCAAGTTTACGTCCCACTGGGGAACAGGTTGGTGGACATGAGGATTCAGCCTGTCCAGCCCTTTTAGGAACCTGATGACCATTGGATTGGCAAATAGGGTTTTCCCCCTTTCCCTCAGGTGGAAGGCTGAGATGGCTCCCAGGTGAAACTTGATGGAGGAGGAAGAAAGATGCTGGAGCCTAAGGTCCAACAGGTAATCTAGGATCAGGGGGATTTGAACCCATCTTGTGTTCACCCCCTTCTGGGAAGCCCAACAGCAGAACCGCTTCCACGTAGCCAGATACGTGGCCCTGGTAGAGGGTTTTCTGCTTCCCAGGAGGACATCCTGAAGCCAGATACGTGGCCCTGGTAGAGGGTTTTCTGCTACCCAGGAGGACATCCTGAACCTGTTCAGAGCACTGGAGCTCCTTTGCCGTTAACCACGGCGCTTCCACGCTATCAGGTGCAGTGATTGCAGGTCCGGGTGGCAGAGCCTGCCCGAGTCCTGGGATATCAGGTCCAGGACCAGTGGGAGGGATACGGGCCTCTCGCAGGAGAGGCTGAGGAGGGTCACGAACCAATGTTGCCTGAGCCATGCTGGGGCAATTAGAATCAGGGACGCCCTGAACTCCCGCACTTTTAGGAGGACCTTGTGAACTAGCGGAAAAGGCGGGAAGGCATACAACAGGCCTCACAGCCAAGGGAGGAGGAGAGCATCCCCTAAGGAACCCTGCCCCTGACCCATGAGGGAGCAGAAATGTGGGCACTTCTTGTTCTGCCCCGTGGCGAACAGGTCCAGGTGCGGAGACCTGCACGCATGGAAGATGGAATGGGCTACATCCCAGCGCAGGGACCACTCGTGACCCACAAACGATCTGCTCAGCCTATCCGCCAGGACCTTGTGGGAGCCTGGGAGATAGGAGGCCATTGGGTGGATGTCCGCCTCGATGCAGAGGTCCCACAGGCGGATCGCCTCCAAGCACAGGTGAGGGGAATTGGCCCCACCCTGCTTGTTTATGTACGCCACTGCTGTCATGTTGTCCGACAGAACGAGGACAGACTTGCCCCTCAGGTGGGGAAGGAAAACCACACAAGTCAATCGGACTACCTGGAGCTCCCTGACATTGATATGCAGGGAGGTTTCATCCACAGACCACATACCTTGCATCTGGAGGTCTCTATCAACTGGGTAGGAGTCAGGGTCGATTTGTCCAGATTCAACAGAAGGCCTAAGTCTTCAAAGAGTTTGTGGGCTGTGGTGATGAAGGCTCTCATCTGAGTCTCTGACTCCCCCCCCTCCCCCTTAGGAGCCAATCATCTAGGTAGGGGAACACCTGGACACCCCTTTTTCTGAGCTCGGCAGCCACCACTGCCATGCATTTGGTGAAGACCCAAGAGGCCATAGAAATACCAAAGGGGAGAGCTGTGAATTGGTAATGGTCCAGGCCCACGGTAAACCGTGGGAACCTTCAATGGCAGGAGGTAACTGAAATTAAGTCGAGGGCAGCGTACCAGTCTCTGGGGGCTAAGGAAGGGATAATGGATGCCTGAGTCACCATTTTGAATTTTGTCTTGACGATGAAGGATTTTGTCTAGAGCTCTGAGGTCTAGAATGGGATGAAGGACCCCTTTCGCCTTTGGAATCAGAAAGTAACAGGAATAGATTCCCCTGTTCCAAAACTCAGGGGGAACACATTCCACCGCCCCTAGCGTGAGGAGATGATTTACTTCCACCTGTAGAAGACCCCTCATGAGAGGGGTCCCTGAAAAGGGACAGGGTAGAGGGTTGGGAAGGAGGGGGCAAGTAGAAAGGGTTTATATAACCCCGTAGGGGGTTGGGAAGGAGGGGGCGAGTAGAAAGGGTTTATATAACCCCTCACCAGGCTTGGATGTCGTGGGATAAACGGTCTCGTAGTGGAGAGAATGGTAGGGTGCCCTCAGAGGTCCTGGTAAAAGTCCTGACGTGGCCCAGAGGGTTTATTAGGGGGTTCCCTGGTTGCGGTTTGGGGCTGGGCCGGGTTGGCGCCTGTTGTTCCTGCTGTTACCACTCCTGCTTCTACAGCGGGAGAAGTCGGGGCGTGGGCCCTGGGGAGGCACTCTAGGAACATTCCTATTTGAGTAGGTACGCCTCTGGGTAGCAGGAGTGTGCAGGCCCAAGGACTTGAATGCCACCCTGGTATCCTTGAGGCTATGAAGCCTCTGGTCAGTCTGCTCTGAAAAGGGCCAGGGGCCCTTGAACCGGAGGTCCTGAATGGTGTTTTGGAGCTCCAGTGGCACCCCAGAACCCTGGAGCCATGAGCTATGGTGCAGAACCACCTCAGTGGCCATCACTTGAGCTGCAGCATCCACCATGTCGAGAGCCACTTGGAGAGCCGCCCTGGAGATTGCTCTCCCCTCTCCGTGAAGAGCCTTGTACTCCGAGTGGGAGTCCCTAAGGACTTGTCCATGGACACCCAGGTGTTGTATGTGTAATGGGACAAGAGGACTTGCTGGTTGGCAATGCAATATTGAATGCCCCCCAGACGCATAGACCTTCCATCCCAGCAGGTCAGACTTTTTGGCCTCCCTGTTCTTAGGGGTGGCAGCAGGCTGCCCTTGTCTCTCCCTTTGATTAATGGCTTGCACCAACCAAGAAGCCTGGGGGAGGATGAGAGAAGAGAGAGGTTTTCGTCACCCTCTTGGGGGACAAAGTACCTCCTTTCCACATGCTTATCCGTTGGAGGAATGGAGGCAGGAGTTTGCCACAAGGCTTTGGAGATTTTGGCCACTGTTTTGTTGACTGGTAGAGCCAGGGGAGAGAAGAGGTGTTCATTACCCTCTTGGAGGACAAAGCACCTCCTTTCTGCATGCTTATTCATTGGAGGAATGGAGGCGGGGGTTTACCACAAGGCTTTGGATGTTTTGGCCACTGTTTTGTTGACCAGTAGAGCCACTCTAGAGGGGGTGTCGCCATGCAGAATGTCAACAGTAGGATCCGAGTCATCGGAAACCTTTTTCGCTTGAACCCCCAAACTTTGGGCCAGGTGGTGGAGAAGGTCCTGATGGGCTCTGGCGTCCATGGAGGTCACGGACGGGGTGGAGTCGGCTAATGCCTCATCTGGGGAGGAGGATGATGACCCCTTTTGGACCTCACCCACCGGGGCATCCGCGCGACCTGGATCATCCAAGGTGTCCATGGATGAAGAG